TTCATATCATGGAAATGAAGCCAATTACGGGGCTGGAGAAGAAAACATAACTCAGTGTCTTACAGAATAATTCTCCTAAATCCCATCCCAGGAGAAGATGAAGCTTTGACAGACTTTCCCTTTCCCCCCCCCCCCAGAATATTCCGAAATGTTTTGCAAGTTGCTGCCAGATGTAAAAGGAAATGGAAAGAAGGATTTAGGCAGTATTTTAATGTGATATTCAGAATGGCAACGTTTACACGCCGGAAGATGAACCAAACATATTGTTTTGTACTTTTATTTCTTTTATTGACCAATGCATTTGTAAGTCTTACCACTTTAGGGCATCCTACTCTTCTCCTAGGGGCTATAAAACCCTATAAATGAAGATTATTAGGATCTCCCCACTACAAAGAGGATTTAGCTGTGAATTAACAAGCAAATGAAGAGGAGAAATGGAAAAGGACACCGAAAGGACAGTGGGTTGTCTCCTGAGTTGACAATGTGGTCATCGGTCAGTGGTTGACCTCGATGATCTTGGAGGACTTTTCCATCCCTAATAATTCTGGGATTCTCTGATTGTCCCTTAAGTTTTTGCTGGGATCCAGCGTAACCAGAGCTGGTGATCAGGGAACAATCAAACACCAAGAGAAATTGGTACTTCAGGGAAAGGGATGCAGGGAAACTCCGACTGGGAAAGTGCTGGATGACAGAAGGGCAGGGGTGTGGCAGAGTCAATACTTCCAGAAACAGAAACTCCACCAAAAGTCAGCCAATTAGCACCTCCCTGCTTTATGATTATGCATCGACTTGCACAGATCACACAACAACAGCTCCACAAAAGGCTGAGGAAACAATTCCAGTACCTTGGAAGTGCTTTGGTTGAGAAATACCATTGCCAGTAATGTTTGGGGCAGATCTAGTGATCATGGAATCATGGAATGGTTTGGGAAGGATCTTAAAGATCGTCCAGTGCCACCCCTGCCATGGGCAGGGACACCTTCCACTGTCCCAGGTTGCTCCAGCCTGGCCTTGGACACTTCCAGGGGTCCAGGGGCAGCCACAGCTTCTCTGGCTTATGGATCAGGACTCTGTAGTGTATAAAAACCAGAACAAAACCACAGTCAGAGCTTCCAAAGGTGGGAAATGTGAGTGAGGAAATACCTGTGCCGTGTTATTCCAGGGCAAACCACACCGTTCCACGCAGGTTGTTCAGGAAGCAGCTGGAGCTGCTGTTTGGAAATACATTCCCTCCCTCTACCCTGGGCAAATCCACACCTCAGCGAGGGGCACATTCCTGCCTGGAGCTGGCAGGTGCCTGCCACTGCACCAGGACTGGCAACAGGAATGGCACAAGCAACTCAACCACCTTTAATTTAATTTCATTAAGGTTTGGTTTCGAGCATAACCTCTTAGCCTTGGTGATGCACCAGGCGTGCCAGGTCACCTCCTGGCACGGGGCACCGGAGCTGTGGAGCGGCTGGGAAAAGAAAAGCAGTGAGACCAGAGGGAGAAATGAATTCCCAAATGCCTTTGGAAGCCCCTGGGGAACAGCAATCCAATTCCCACGGAACACTCGAGCCCTGACCCAGACGTGTGAGCAGGTAACTCTGGCAAGAGGCCTCAGCAGGGTGGGTGGGAGCAGGAATAAATTTAGCTGGGTTTTGCTTTGGAGATCAGACTGTGCTCATAACACTCTGCTTTGGAGGATGCTCCAGAAAAGATTCCAAACACCCCCGTGTTTCTGAGTTCCCTGAAACACCGAATAGAAGCAATTGTCTGAGGGAAGAGTTCTCTCGGATTTCAAACAAAAAAAAAAAGATAATGTGCAGCTTGAGTTAAAAGCAGCTATTCTGAGACAAGACAACTTGAGTTTCATGGTTATTTACCTGATGCAGCGGGTCCTGATGACTTTCTGCAGCAGAAGGTTTAAAAGAAACCTCGCTTTATAACTTCTGTTTTCCCAAGAAATGTAAACTTTGAGCTGTTCTGTTTAATTCTTTATTTCCAGAAACGAGCAGGGGAGAACATGAACTCCTGACCAGGAGTTGTGCCTTACCTGGGCTTGGCTTTTATTGGAGAATGAGGCTGAAATAAATTTCTTTGAGTGTTAAGACTGAGAAGTTGGGAGGCCCCTAACTCGTGGATATTTTCAAGGAGAAATCTCATTCCTTCTTCTAAGGATCATTAAAAAAGCCCACAAACAACACCATGGGCCTGACAGGAAAGGCCACACAATCAGTGACAGCTCTGTTATTAATCCTGCTTGGGGAACATCCATGCAGATTAGCTGGATGGTGCCCCAACAGCTGGATTCAGGGATGAGACACAGGGATAAATCTGCCTTCCCTATAAATGGGACCAGGAGGGGAAGAAGGATGGAAGCACAACCCCCACCTTTCCTTGTGCCCCCTTCCCAGGGTGGGAATGGTCCCTCCTTGGCCCGCCCAGCTCCTGCTGGGAATGTCCTGGCTCTGACCAGCTTGTGGGACATTTGCTCTTCTGAGAACACTTGACACCTGCAAGGTGTTCATCTCCTGAAAGTTTCCAGGTCAAAACCAGGGAGCCGTTACACTTTCACTGAGTAAATAACGGCACTCGCTCTGCTGCAGGTCCAACGATCCTCGGGATACACTGCAGTCCCCCTTGATCCATTATTTTATTGGATACTTTAGTCCCCCTTATCAGGCAGTTAATAAGAGGATCGTTGTCGATAATTAATGGCAACATCTTCCTCTGGAAACGAATTAATGGAAATGCAGCATCCACGTCCTTTGGAATGTGGCTCTGTTGAAACAACTTGCTAGTGAAGCCTTGGACACTCCCAGGGATCCATCCAGGGGCAGCCACAGCTTCTCTGCCCAACCTGTGCCAGGGCCTGCCCACCCTCCCAGCCAGCAATTCCTTCCCAGTATCCCATCTGATCCCACCACCTTTCAGTTCCAGGATCGCAGGGAGGCCGAGCAGGCACAGCAGGGGGAGCTCAGTTCGGGGGGACAGGCGCGATAACGTCTTGTCGTGCACGCTCCGTAATTAATTTCAATTTACTTAATTAACAATTCAGTCTTTGGGGAAGGAAGATGAAAAAGTTCCTTCATAAGCTGACAATGGGTGATTGTTCTGGGCTTCTTATCCTGGAGGCACCGGGGATAATGGGAGCTGGGGAAACACTTGGATAGATTGATTACACGGAGGGGATGGGAGTCCTCCGGCACAAGCTCCTGGAACGGGCACCTCCTCCCTCTTCCCATCTTCCCAAGGAATTCGACTTGGGGTCAATACACGGAAAAGTAAAATTTCTCCTCAAAATCCCATTTTCATTTGACAACTCAGGGCTCGGGAAGCCGGGAACGGATTTAACCTCTGCCAGAAATAACCATCCCTTCGCCAAACGCTCCATGGACAGGCAGCAGAAGCTGGGGAAATGGTGGTATTAAGATCTGAAGGTGGAGATTCCCAATAAAAATAAAGTGATATCAAAGAAATCCGGCAGATGCAGCGTCACAGTGGCAACGCTCAGCCTTTCAGGAGGAGATTTACATCCACAGTCGCTCCTGAAACTCGACATTTGCATGGAATAACTCGGAATCTGCTGCTGGCCAGGCTTTGCTGCCCGTCCTGCATCCCTCAGGGCTGTTAGTTGTGCTCTCAGCAAAGCCCAGCACTTCTACCAGACGCAGATATTTCATTGTTACTCCTCCAAACTCCACTCTGGGTTTTGCACCTTAGAACTGCCCCTGCCAGGGCTTTTAGCCCCTCCCAGATTTAATCTGCACCATTAGTGGGCTTCAGCCTAATTCCCCCCCAGCTATTCCAGGTATTTTAACAAGGATCACATGTTGGATGTGTTTCCATGCCTACGTGTGTCCCACCTCAGGACAAACTCATTCCACCTCGCTCCCTGTGCGGATGCAAATGAGGGGCTGGCAGGACATTCCTGTCCTGCAGATAAAAGGTGTTGGGAGCCACATCTGGATCCAGCACCTGTACAGAAACTGGTCCCAGTGGCTGCTAAGGAAGGACTTCATAAGCAGTTTTATAAAAGTTATTGTCCTGGTTTATTTTATTTTAAGGCTGCAAATACCAAACTTGTACTTTCATAAATCTCCAAAGTTTCTCCTCATTTTTAAAAAGTATTAAAAAAAATATTTATTTGATTTCTAATGCTTTACTCTATTTTTTTCTCATTCTGTCCTGACCAAGTTGTTCATAGCAAAGGTTTAGCCAGCACCAGGCTTTTCCTGGCACTTACTGTGACACCTTGGGAAGCAGGAGGTGCCTGTGTGGGCCTGTGGGCTCTGCTCCCTCTCACAATTCCCTGCCTTTTTCGCCTCCCCACCCTCCCAGCCAGGAATTCCTTCCCAATATCCCACCTGTGATCTCCTATTTGTTGTTTTGGTTGATGAAACTCTTAAGATGGGTAAGAGCAAGTGTGGGAACTCCAGATTCCCCTTTTGGTCACAATCAAACAAATGAAAGACAGGATGGGACAGGATAGGATAGGACAGGATAGGATAGGACAAGATAGGATAGGATGGGATAAGAACAAAGTTTCCCCTCAGTTTTTTAGGGGTGAATCTTCCCTTTTTCCTCAGAAGCAGAGAGTTCAATCCCACAACTGAGAAAGATAATGACAAACCCCAATAAATTGTTGTGTTATTTTTACGAGTTTTTCTGTCCCTGGAGGAAAAACAGCGAGAGGAGCGAGAAATGATTTTCCTGGAACTGCAAACGAGCGGTGTTTCTATCAGGAGCTGGGAATTGCTTCTCTTTGAGAGAGGCCTGAAATGATTGTGATTTGATGAGATGGGAACCTGTGAGGTAGGATTAAGAACGTGCCCATCCCATAAACTTGTTTTCTGTCTGAAAAGTTGGGTTTTCACAGCCCAGACTCTGCAACCCCCCCCGCCCACGTGCTGTGGGAACGTGCAGAGCAGAAACCAGCTGAGATGGAACTGTGTGCATTTTTGAACCCAAAGCATTTATTCTTCCAGATTTATTCCATTTCTTCTCCCATTCAGGGAATGATTGGAGCCCAAAGGACTTACCTGCAGCATGGGCCTGGATGTGGCTGTGGCTGGAAAAGCCTTTGTTCCCCATCCCACTCTGTACCTGGTTCAGCTCCGTTCCCAGCCGGGCCCAACCCACGGCTCAGCCCCGGATCATTCCCTCACTGGGATCCATTCCTGCCTGAAATTCTGAAACATCAGTGCCAGTGCTTCTCCCGGACTTGTGTCAGCCTGTGCCAGTGCTTTCCTGGGATCTGGACACAGGAATTTTGGAGGGTGCTCTTGCTCTTCCTTCTCCACTCTACTTCATCCCCTTTAAGTACCTCAAACCCTTCCCATTTCCCAGACCTTTTCCAAAATAGGCATTTCCAGAAAGAACTATTCTAAATATATATTTGTACAAATATATACATGCTCCCTGTTCTAAATCCTAACCCCTCATCTTCTGCTGTTGGGATGACAATTACAAACACTTCTCCTGACAGATGGAATCTTTCGCAGGGGGATATTTCAAATCCAACCTTCCATTTTAAATTTCGGGGTTTTTTTTCTTTCTTTTTTTTTAAAGCAAAAACAAAAATTGCTTTTAAAGGGTTGTTGGCAGCCAAGGGATCAACTGTAAAACCTGGCACAGAGAAATGAGCCGTGGGGAAATGACTTCCCGCTGCTTCCTGGGCTTCCGAATGCAAAGCAAATGTAAGGGATCACCGGTCCAGGTGAAACCAGAGGTGGCTGGTGGGAATTTCTAGGGAGCACAAGGATAACCAGAGACACCAGGAGCAGGGCAGAAATGCTCGGTGGGCTGGTCTGGGAGGTGCGTGGAAATCCCTCAGCTCGTGAGCTGAGAAATTTAGTTTCGGTAGGACTTCTTTAAAGCCTCAAAAGTGTTTTTGCTGCATCGATTTGCCCCTGGAGCGAACTGAGGGGGAACTCCTCGCAGGGAATACGGAGGCAAACGACCTGCTGGTGTGTTTGGGGATTTTGGGGTTTGGCTGTTGAGTTCAGCGCGGTGGGAGGAGCAGAGTGAGGGGTGGGATGGGAGTGGATCTGTTCCTGGGACCTTCCGCAGCCACCTCCACTTACCCGTCGGACGCCGCCGCCGCCGCCAGGAGCTCCCTGGAAATGCCCAGCTCTGGGATGCTCAGCGATGGCTGGGGGTTCTCCTGGCCCCTAGAAATGGCCCTCAGCACTGCTGGTTGCTATTTCAGCTGACAGAGGGGCCCTGTTTGAGGCCGGGCATCCCACGGAGCCACCGGAACACGGAGCCCCTGCCCCGAAGAGAACAGCACAGGAACTGTTTTTTCTGGTGATTTAATCATAATATTGACAACTTTATCAAAAAATTACAAAACTGATATTAAAAAAATTCTCTAATTCTTAGTAAGACTAGAATGGGTTCGTTGTTTTTTTTTTTCTTTTTTCTTTCCTTCTTTTTTTTTTTTTTTTTTTTTTTTTTTTTTTTTTTTTTTTTTTTTTTTTTTTTTTTTTTTTTTTTTTTTTTTTTTTTTTTTTTTTTTTTTTTTTTTTTTTTTTTTTTTTTTTTTTTTTTTTCTTTTTTAAAAAATAGAAAAGCACTTTTATGCTACGGCTCTTCTGGAATTCTCACATTACAACCCTACATAGCAAAATACAAACTGTAGCTAAGAAAGGTACCAGTCCTAAGGTAATCCAGTCCACCACGAGCCCTCTAATATCTCTAGACCATCAAACTCAGGGACTCCAAAAGGATATCACATCACTTAGAAACCTTCTGCAAAGCTGATCGAGGAAAGACCTTTGAATTTTAAGTTCCTTTTAACCCCTAAAACCTTCGACTGTGAGGAAAACAGACCCGGGACATCAGAGGTGGGGTGGGTTTTTTTTTTTTTTTTTTTTTTTTTTTTTTTTTTTTTTTTTTTTTTTTTTTTTTTTTTTTTTTTTTTTTTTTTTTTTTTTTTTTTTTTTTTTTTTTTTTTTTTTTTTTTTTTTTTTTTTTTTTTAAATTTTCCAACGATGTGGATTTTATCTCTGCAGCTGACACCGGCCAAAGGTTTCCTGTCAGAAGACGAAGAAAATCCACTGGGCTAAAGGAAAAGGTTTTCGCTGTTGTTCCGTTTATGGTGTTCACAAAACGCACCATAACAGAAAGAGGAATCATTTCCTTTAATTGGAACGTCACCTGAATGACTCAACCACATTGTCACCCACTCAGCAAAAAAGAAAGCATAATAAATAAATAAATAAATAGACAAGAACACGTTAACACTTTTACATCCTCGAGGAATCACGTCGTTCCCTACGAATCTACCGAGGTCCTGACCGACGCCGTGGGCTCCTCAGCCACTTCACTCTGGGGTGACTGTGCCATATTAATGACAGATAAAGTGGTGTTCCACTTGCCACAATGGGATATTTTTTCTTTTTTTTTTTCCCCTTTTTTTTTTATTCCCCCTCCACCTTTTAAATATAGGAATTCTCTCTCTTAAATTAGAAAGTAGGCAAAAAGTATTTTTTTTTTAAATTTTCCTTTTTTTTTTTTTTTTTTTTTTTTTAAGTCTTCTATTAGAAAAAATAGAGATTTCTTAAACAAAAAAATAATAAGGTAGAAAGAGAAGGGTTGGGCCTCCGTCAAAAAAGTAGATTATGCTTTAATGCAAAGAGAAAGAAATGGCTCTATGGGCAAAATTCAAGTATGAGTGACCAGTTTGTTTAATTGGAAAGTCGGTGCAACATTTTTCTGAAAATGTTCCAACAACTGCACGACCTGCAACGCTCACAATATTGACAGGAACTGCTGACATGGAACCAGCAACA